ATTAAAGTTTTTCTTCATTACCCATTCAAGCCGGCTCCAGCCATTATAACTGTATCAAAGTTAGACTTCATAGAGTCTTTGGAGCAAAATTACATGGGGGCCTTTAACCACTGTTGGTAACTAATGCAGGGGTCCTCAGAGAAGTTGGTGGGGACCCATGGACTTGATCTGACCATGGGTAGTACTTACTGGCAGTTTCACAACTAGACCACTTGGAGCTAATGGAGGACAATTACATGGAGGGCCCTTAATCACTATTGTTAACTATTGTGAGAGTCCTGAAGAAGTTGGTGGGGACCTTGCAGGTCTGTGGACTTGACCCAACCATGGGTAGTTGCTACTAGCTAGATACCACTAAGTTTTCTTTATAACAAGTACCTACAGTTAATGGAAATATTACTTATGCAATGTTTATAAATAGTTCTCTGATATATGAAACTGATAAAGGTTTTCAAATGATAGAAGTATATTTCCTGATAAGAGTACATATATAACCAGAAACCAATGTACAATGCTTTTATGCTAGCAACTATCAACTACAATGTATACAAGTAATCTGATTGTAATCATTCATATGCTAGAACAGTTTCTCGTGAGCAATTTATTATTCCCTCAATCAATAGACATATGTTGATATTTACTATATGTAGTCATATATTTCAAGTTGTTTCAAACTCATTTTTGTTGTAGTTTACTGAAAGTTTTAAGTCATTTTATCAGATCAGTATAGCAGCTATCATTATAGAAATTTCATCTTTCATTTCCTTGTATTTTTAGAATTAGTATCCTAAACACGACACAGTAAAAACAAGGTCCATTTATTTTGTTAATTGTTATTATCACTCTCAACTATTAATACGTTTGAAAAAAAACAAAAACTTTCAGACATATTTTTATAAATTTATAATTTAAAAGCAAGAAAGTTATTGTCTTCTCTAGTGAAGCCTTTTTTCAAGCACTATGTTCTATTTTGATCACCCTTATTGTAAAAGCAATAGTAACCATCTAGAAAGGATGGATAAATAGGCTACTATAGTCAGAGAATTTGGACTATAATGAGAGACTTAAAGATTTGAACCTGTGTTTTTTGGATCATAAAATATTTTAGAGGTAACATATCTTAAGTATTTGTTATTGTTAAAAGCTAAGATTAACTGTTCTTGATAAGTATTTAAACAATAAGAATATAAGAAGAGGCAAGATCACAGTAAGCCATTCAATACATTCGAGGCTCCTCAGCCCAAAAAAATATGAATAAATTAAACACTAATTTTAAAAAGTTATTTTTCAATTTAATGTACAATCCAGAAGTGTATTCATCAGAGGTAATTAAAACTGAGTCTGATGGAATGATGTGGACTGTTATTTTGAATTTGTTTGTTTTTAATAGATTAATGAAAGTGAAAGGATACATTTGACATGGTTGTTTATTGTGTTAATAATTTTACGATGTGATATTCAGGTTTACTGATATTTAGCAGAGAAGTTTAAAGGTATCTACAAAATGCAGATTCTGGACATTATATGCAGATGATAAATTAAACTTGTACAGCAAAGGATAAAAAAATACATGTGCAGAAATAAAGCAAAATCTTTATTCATAATTATTCTGTATTATGTCTGTTTACCAGATTGGCTGTCTTCATGCTTTTTTGATGTGGCTAGGGTTGAGAAGACTCCTTTTTTCAACATTGGCACAGGACAAGAAGAATAAGTGTTCTGATTTATCACCCAAATTTAGACAGAGTGCAGTATAGCAGAATACAACACTGCATATGTCAGTGACTATTCCAAATAACATTTATAGGAGAGAAAAACCCCTATCTCATACCAATTTGTACAAGTTGAGTGCCATTCCTTGAGATTGGTTTTCCCCTCTTCTGGAAGGTCAGACAGAGAGTCAAATTGGTACAAGTTTTTAGCTGTTAGTATATGAATGTCTGCCTGAGTAAAAGGAGTAGTACATCTTTATGACCTTTCGATATTTGGTTAATAAGGATGCCATACCACATACAGAAAATTTGCACAAAAATGTGGAAAAATTACCTGAACATATCCAACTAAAAATATATATTCAGGTTATGGATTGGTAAAATTAATGGCTATTTCAGTCATTAAATTCTCCCCTTACCTCAAGGGTGTCCTCCCCCTGAACTTTAAAATGAAACCTTACTAGCTAAATGACAAATACTTGAAGTAAGTTGCCTATAAATAATTCTTTATAACCTAAAAAATACAAGTCCACACTATTAACTTTTTTCCTTATAGTCTATACCTTATTTTATGTACTTGAAGCATTATTCCAATTACCATAGATGTAAAAATGTTAAAGTCGACATATGTAAATATAAAGAATACACCTACAATTACACACTTTTAAGTATAGTTTTATAACTATGTTTAAAGTGATCATATAAGCAGTACTATGAAATCAGAGAATCTCTTTGATGCTTAAATAAAAATTTCTTTAGATATTTCAGACTTAATACCAACACAAGAATGTTTTCTCTACATCATTACACCACCTCCAGCAGCTTCCATTATTTTGTACTAACCTTTACCTCTCAATAGCGTATCAAACAATGTTAACAGATGTCATCTAATGATTAGAACTTGTCATCTCTGAAGTACGCAACACACACACACACACACACACACACAAATAAGGAATATCCAGTTATATGAATGAAAAATCTAGCAAACATTTATGTTTAGGTAATATAAACCTGTCATGTGCAAGTACTAATCATAAAATAACCAGAGCAGTGAGGATGACATTTTCTAAAAATCACAAGTCACGTACTTCTGCTCATCATACTAAATTAATACATAGATGTATACACTTTATAAGTTTACAGGACAATAGATATGTGCAAAAACTTTTCAGGTGTTAAAAGGACATGCTAGTGCGTGGTCATCTGTGTTTGTGTGACAGTAACAAACATTTAATTCATGAATGTTTCAGAAAGTACATATTTCATCTTCAGCAAGTTAAAATATTATGTAAAAAAATTCTCTAAATTTCTAACATTTTGTAAAGAGGAACTAAAATGCAGAGTAAAGGGATGAAGTCAATTAAAAAACAAATGCATAAAAGGATAGGAAAGTGCAGCAATTGTAACAATATTATACAAGTTATTCAAAATAGGCATAACTCTAGTGAAGCTAGTGTTGTCATTTAAAGTTGGGAGTTAATTTATAATAGATAAATTTCCTTAATTAATAGTTCAATATTGGATAATCTAGATGAGATAACTTTTAAATTATTAATCAAGATGATGCGGTTGTTGTTTTCACTGTTTATATGAATTGCAAATTGTGGAGTCCGTAGGATTTTATAGTTGTTTAGCAGTTCTGCGTGATACTCCCATATTCTTGTGGGTTCATAGGTGTAACTGACATATTGTTTTTCCAATGTAAATGCCATTGCAGCCATCACATGTACTTATACATGATCCTGGAATGCATAGGTAATAGGTCTTTAGACCTAAATAGATTTTGAATCTTGAAAGGTGATTTCAATATCATTTGTAGTTTAACCTGTGGATAAAGTTTTAATTGTTTTCAAACTTTGTGACTTCATTATGAAACTTTGTTTAAAGGGAATATTGCTATTTGGAAATATTTTGGTTATAAACAATTGATGATTGACTGAGGGGAGACAAAAAGAAATGGATAAAAAGCTATTGCAACAGACATTAGCCTTTGTCCAAATTGACCCATTTCTTCAAGAATGATCAAGATTTGATTATCTTCAAAGGTACCACATAAAAGATACAACAAAAACTGACATGTAGCAGCCAACAAACTTAAAATACCCTTTATATGTATATATATATATAAACCACACACCACATTTCATCCTACTAAATTAAATTTTTGACACATACAGTTTTATATAAACATTCATTCAGAAGTTCAGCTACTATGATAAAAATGGCATTCTTTTATGAAATTAAAGAATAGGAATTGAAAAAACCTCATTATGAAACTAGAAATTCTTGAAGCCAAGTTTTTAAGACAAAGTGTAGTTTTAATTTTTATGTGGTTCTTTTCCACACCAACTACATTAAGACTGATAACTTGCAAAAACCATCACCAGTGTTTTTTTCTTTTTAAACTATACATACCTATTTTTCCAGAAGGTTAGATAAGAAGGTACATATGATACATTGTAACAAACTTCAGTGAAAAGTATGTATTATGTGGCTGCCTCATCAACTAAGTAGTGTATAAGCAGATGAAAAGATGTCCATGGTTACACTTATGGGAAATGGGATAAAAAACAACACATAAATAAAGGAGAAACACAGAATAAAGCATGTGTGTGTTTCTCTAAGATGGAGTTTTTCTTTTTCTCAGTTATGGATTTTTAAAATCATTACCAATTGTTTTAAAAAGTGTATCTACATAGATAATACCAAAAAAAAAAAGTCTTAAGAGAGATACATAACTTTTCTATGATAAAAAAAATATTGTTAGGCTATTTTTGATGTTATTAAAAAAACATTTACAAGTAGAACACAACAAGCAGAAAATATGCTGCTTATCAAGTAAGAAACATGATTAAAAGCATCTAGCTTTGTTTTGTATATTCATCTCTGTTACTGAAAAACACGCTGTTAAACTTTCATCGGGATTAAAAATTGTTATATAATTAAACCAACTAAACTTTTATCAGTTCTTCTTGGATATATGTAAACAAAACTGCAATAAGTGTTTTAATTTGCAGCTACCTGTCAAAAGCTAATAAGGGCCTTCTCTATACAGTGGATGTTAGTGATAGAGATGGTGATGTAAAATGGTACTGAAGATGGTTGTTGGTTTTGTACATGCTTTATAAGAGTGTATTTAGAGGCTAGTACTGTCATGTTGTGCCCACATAATGATATTGAGTATAATTAAATGAAAAATGCATATTTTTTTTTAATTCTTACTTATAAAGATTCGAATGCATTGTTTCATCTGTTAGGTACTCTCACAGTAAACCCATTAATATCTTACAAGGTTTTGTCAGCTTAGGAGATTTAGGTTAGTCCTAAACCCATATATTAAGGTAACAATGCAGAAAAATATCAATAATAAAAATTAAAATGGAAAATAATAAAATTAGACATTAAACATATTAACCAGTACTGTTACATAAAGTAACAATAAAGAAATAATAGAGAATATCTTACTTATAGAACATGCAAACAATTGCTGTTAGCTTCAAGTACTGTTGGAGTCCTTAAACATATATGGAAAATTATTATTAGTGTACATAGCTGGTCGATTAATAGAATCTACAAATCAATTGTCAGGCTCATTAATCAATTACATTCAACTAATCAGTTATTGTTAACTGAGAATAATCTCTATTTTCAGTTTGTTTTATGATTTTTTAAAGACTTCTTTTAACTAACCTTCATTTAATATGATAAACATGTTCAGGTACAACAATTTAGGATTAAGTTACATTTTTAATCCTAAACTGTTGTACATGAACATGTATGATATGTGCAGTGCAGACAGAATCCTGTAACAAGCTGAAACTATTGTTACATATCTGCTTGTTTGATAATTTCCGGTAAAATTCTTTCCGAGAAACTTCAGCAATACAAGTCCCTTCTTGATTAAAACTAGTTTATTCTTTCTCGATACAACTTTTTGTAATACACAGAATTTCCACAGTCACTTTAAACTTAGTAACCTTTATAACACAAGCTATAAATCGCAGTGGTTCATACACTTTACTTATGGTGCCTACTGTTCGCTTGACTCAATTATCTATCTCTTCAATCTGTCTATATCTCTTCTATCGCTGGCTTTATTTGCCGGGCTTATATACTAAAAAAGAGGGGTGCCTGGCGAACACTGGGACATTCGCGGGGTTCCTCGATAAGTCATGATCCTTCTAGAAACTCCAGCACGCATGCTCCCAGCATCGCGTGACTTCCGCTGTCATAACAATATGATTAATACAATTCTTCATATAAGTGTTCACAAGACTACTAAATCTAGATAAGCTAATTCTTTGTTAAAAATAATTGCCCTTAGATTGAATGTGATAAAAATAGTAAATGTTCTTTCATAATATGCGATAGATAGTATATATAATTCAGTGAAAACAAATTTGTGCCTATCTTAGAAAACAAACACAGTACAACGTTTATTGATTGGCAAGAAAACTTATGATGATACTAGATGACCTCTATGCAGGGAGTAAAATAATTCATAAGGTGGAATTGAAGTATTATAAGATGTATTAAAATCATAGTGATATGAAAACAATTTTAATTACAAATATTTTGTCATTTTTCCTAATTGCATTACCAATGTGAAAACTTAACAAATAATTAACAACTTTATAAGTAAAAAAAAAAACAGATTTTAATGAAGTTGTTGTTGATATAGACAAACATTTAGAAAGAATATATTAAAATGATTAACATGTTTACATTTTACAGTACAGGTTGAAAGAAAATTTAGAAGCACACATGCATTCTGAGAAGCTTATACTTTTAAGCAGTGTTTATGTGGCACATAACAACAGCCAGACTTTTTTTTCCCTTTTTAGTGTTTCCTATCTAGCAGAGCTAGCCATAATTAAACAGAAGTCCTGTTCATGTAAATAGGTTAACAACTTAATGGTGTTACATACTGTTAGGCTGTTACTAGTTCATGTCTAGTCATTTCTGACAAACACAGTTAAATGAACAAGTTATTCAGCAATCAACATATTTTTGATGAACAAAGAATAATGAATATTAACTTCCTGTAACTTTTTTATTATTAAAGCAACTATACCTTATAAAAACACTGGTTATGTTTGTAGCTTGTAAGAAGTATGTTAAGTTAAAGCTACACTATTATTTAGAGGCAATTCTGCAAATAACAAGAATCACTGTGGCTAGTCATCTCACCAACAGTTACAATGCCACATCTTCACATATATGAATTGTGTACAAACAGTATACAATGCACACTTTCATGTGCAGTTCTACCAATGGAAGAAGTAATAGTAAACATTTCAATTACTTGGATAGTTGGAATAATCAAAAGTACTAACAATCAGAAACCCTAATTTCAATTAATTGATTATTTCTGTGAGTTGTGACACTAATCAGTTAAGCTGAACAACCTTGAAATAATTAAAAATATTAATTTTGATTTGTCAATTATTTTATAGGACACTAGTCAATATAATCATATTAATTGCCTAGCAAGGGTTTTGTCTGTGTATCATTATATGATAAGGTAGTACTGATATTGGTTTTATCCATACATCACTGGATCAGAGAGTATGCTAATGTTTTATCATAGGATTCTGTATCTATGACTGTATCAATGGCTAGTGCTGAAGTTGGGTTCTATTCATGATACACAGTATCTAGTTCTAGTGCTGTCCTGGGTCCTGTTCATATATCACTGTGTCAGAAGATGGTATGGTCTTTGTTTGAATAAATCAGTGGTTTCCAAACTTTTATTTCACTGATGAAACCCTAACCTACTTGAATTGCACAACACCCATGCTACCACATGCAATTTTTTTGTAGTTTTTTTTTATGTTCTTAATTATTCTTTATTTGGTGAAAATCTTGTGACACCCCTAGAAACTTGCCACAATACACAGTTTGGAAACTACTGGGATACACTGTAACATTATATCTCTAAGGGACTAGTACCACTAATTATCCTTTCGCATTCTTGTAAAGTGTTACATTGGAAATATTACTTATGCTAGAGATCATGTGCACATAGATACTTCTACATTGTTTTTTATTTCTTGTGATTGTTGTTTTTGCTAAAAAGAATTAACAGTTTCTCTCCTTGTACAGGTGCATGCTTACATCATCAGCATCCTCCGCAGAGACATGCCATCTGTCTTTGGGAAGGACAGCAAAAAGAAGGAGCTTATCAAGAACCTGGGTAATGTGTATGCAGAGATCCAACGAGAGCAACAAATTCCTCCAGGTGACTTCCCAGACCTAAAATATATGCAGGAGAAATTAAATGAACAAGATTTTACTAAGTTTCACCATATTAAGCCTAAACTTCTAGAAATGGTTGAAAAGATGCTAGCTGAAGATATCTCTCAGCTAATGGGTATGATTCCTCATGAGCAAACTGAAAGCTCCAAAAATTATGATGTTGTTGGGGGTGCATTTGAAGGAGTTGCAGAGCAGAGCCCATTTGGTTATGGTCGTGGAGAAGGAGCTGATGCTGGTTCTCTGCAACAAGACTGGATTGTTTCAAGAGAAAGGTTTAAGTATGATGAAGTTTTTGATAATTTGAACCCAGTAGATGGAAAGATATCTGGAGCAAGTGCTAAAGCAGAAATGGTAAAATCTAAGCTTCCCAATTCTGTGCTAGGGAAGATCTGGAAGCTTTCTGATATAGACAAGGATGGAATGTTGGATTCAGATGAATTTGCACTAGCCATGCACTTGATTAATATCAAACTTGAAGGTCATGACATTCCAACAGAACTTCCAAAACATCTGTATCCTCCAGGAAAGCATAAATTTGTAACTTAACCTTTGGACTTCGTATAGAGTAGTTAATCGTGCTTGTGCAGATGTGTGCATTTTAATGTTTGAATGTTAAAACTGTGAATTATGAAGTTAGAACTGTGTACCACATGATGATGCCTTGCAGATATTTTTGACTATCATTCCATGTACCAAAGTTTATTATGTGTTTAATCTATTAGTTATACATGCCTTGTTGAATGTAAACTATATATCTAAATACATTAATTAAAGGTTTAATCTATTAGTTATACATGCTTTGTTGAAATGTAAAGTATATATCTAAACACACACATATATATATAAAAGAATATATCAGTATTTTTAAATGCTCATTTTCATATATTTAAGTTATAATCTTGTCTTTTTTTTAAAAAAAGCAGTACAAAAGTGTCAAGATATATTACTTTTTGAAGTAATTGTGTGTTGTATAACATACAGTTGTTAAATGGTAACTTTTTTTTCTGGTATACATTGACTTCTAACAAATTTTTATATAGTAAATTTTTTCTGGAGTTCAGGTGTATGAATACAAGATCAAAATTTTATATATTTTTGCTTGCAATTTAAAAGTTATAAAATTTATTCCCCTATTTTTATAAACTGATGTACCACAAATATTTTATGTAGGAAAAATGTCTGGGGTTTTGGATGCATTATAGATGTAAAATCATCACTTACAGCTGTACAATAAAAAATTTTACAAACTTTTATAAGTAATAATGTTTTCTTGTTCTGTAAATTAGCAAATAAAACGGTTTCAAGTAAATCAGTATGCACTATATTTTTACATATATATGTGTACAAATATAAAAACTCAATACAAATGGTGAGCATACACTTTCTTTAGAAGCCTAGGTATAGAAGAAACAACTTCCAGAATCTAGTCAAGCTATCCCATCATAAAAAATTTTCCCTGTGTCGTGGAACCTTTCATCTTGAAATTTTACTGAAAACATTGAATTGAAAAAGTATTTACAAAAACTAAATATATAAAAAAAAAACAGTACACGTTTATAAGTCTTGCTTAAATTTGTCAAAATGTCAAATTAGCACTGAATATAGTTTATAGGGAGGGCTTGAAGATTTTCAGATTCTTAATATTGCAAAGTAAGGGTATAGGAAAAATACTTAGTTTGAAATGAAACCTATAAAGAAAAAAATACGATTTTTGTTGTTGTGTTTGTGTGCATAAATAAACTTTTCACAATTCAGGCTACAAGAAACCACGTACCAAGTATGACGCGCTGCTTTATAATATGCATCATTTTTACTCTAAACTCTAATTATACAAGTTTAACCTGATTTCATGAGTCATAGCCTTGCAGGCATATTTTTTTACAATTGTAATGTATATTGTACTATCATATCAGATGTTTTATTTTTGTGTTTAATATTCTCGATCTGGTTAGAGAGGAACACGTCAGATCATTCTCAAACCATTGCTTTGAGGTAAGAAGCAAGTCATTGCACTAGCAAAATGCACAAGTAATTTAAAATATTGCATATAATTCAACCTTTAAAATAGATGAAATCTGACAACAATTTTAAAAATAACTTGGCGTCAAATTGGATTTACGTTTGTATTAAATCTTCACAGAGAAGATAGTTGTGTGGTTTTAACTCTAGGAATTATGAATGTAGATGTAAAACTCGTTGTACCACTTGCAATGTATAACAGCCACGTAGCTGAAATATGTCGCTGCTTTCACGAAACTAAGAAAACACGTAAAAAATAAAGTAAATAGCTAAACAAGAAACTCGAGGTTTCGGAAAATAGACTTTTATTTCTCATGTGTGAATTATAAAGTTTTGTCGATACAGTACATCCCACTTTTCTTAATAACTTTGAGTAGGTCCAAGCCCTGACTTTTAAGCTTAATGTATAATAAATATAGGGCAGAATGCGATAGTTCTTGCAATGGGAATTGAAGCGGTGCTTGTTTTTGTATAAAATTTAATACTAAGTTGTTGGTGAATATAATAGCATTGAGAATATATCAGTGTGGTATTCTGATTAGAAAATATCAAATTCACAGGTAGCCAGGTCATCGCGCACATAATTTCTAATACTGATCGGTCTTTAACTTTGTTTTTTAAAGTATCTCACTAAAACTTCTGAAAACATAGATTACGAAGTGGTATCACAACAGCCTATGTTCTAACGTTATGTTATGACAGCTGAAGTCACGTGACGCTGGAAGCATGCGCGCTGGAGTTTCTAGAAGGATCATGACTGTTCCTTGCAACTCTAGTGTTTGCCAGACGCCCTCTATTTTTTATATATAAGCCTGGCAAATAAAGCGGAGATATAATTGCAGATAGAGAGACAGATAATTAAGTCAAGTGAGTGGTAGTGACCATAAGTCAAGTCGTGAACCGTTGTGAATTATAGCGTGTGTTTAAGTTAAAGTGACCGTGGAAATTCTGTGTATTGCAAAGTTGTATTGAGAAAGTTTGTTTGTTTGTTTAATTATGCACAAAGCTACACAAGGGCTATCTGTGCTCTGCCCACCACGGGTATCGAAACCCGGTTTCTAGCGTTGTAAGTCCGCAGACATACCGTTGTGCCACTGGGGGGCTTATTGAGAAAGAATAAACTAGTTTTATTTAAGAAAGGACTTGTATCGCTGAAGTTTCTCGGAAAGAATTTCTACGGGAAATTAACAAACGACCAGAGACGTAACAGTTACCTTGATATCTATAGAATATTATTAGGTGTAAAGTTCAGATATGAAAATATCAATGGTATCATTTTGGTGTATATCTGTAGTAAAGAAAGAGGTAATATCAAAGTTAGCCATAAATTTTCACATAAGATAATATAATTTGTGATATAAACCTACCACATCTGTACAATATTTAGGGTTGCCGACTGGCCAGCTACTTCCTTGAAAAATTCCTCGCATACAATAGAGAATATTACCGGCCAGACCCCTAACTTGTTAGGATTAAGATCGCAACGGTAATAAAAAACAAATAAACAAAGAACCGACATACTTTTTACCAAATTATAAATATCTAATAGTCCTATAGTTATTCTTTACAATAATTGCTATTTTTTAAATTGTAAACGAACAATTCCTTAAAATTCACGAGGTAAAGGAAGTCGCTTGGGTATTTACGAACTCGTCCTGAAATTATACCGATTACTGGAACAAAATATTCAGGCTGAAAATATTTTATCTACCACCAATAATAAAAGGCTTATATCTATCTCGGAAATATGAAATTTTAAGAACCAAAACATATAACAGCTGTAAGTAATTTAGAAGTTTAAATTTCTTGCTAAAACGCGCACAGCTTGTCTGTCCAGATGCTAGTAACGCAAGTGTTTTCCCCATGGACTTTTAAAAATAAATTGAAATTACAAACTGAAATAAAAGCAACCAGAGGCGGCGCTAAAGTGGGGGCTATAGCCATCCCAACCAGCATGTCCAATACGCTGGTGATTTACACATTTTGTGACGGTAAAGTCCCACAGCAATTTGTCTGGCCTACTTCAACCCCCACCCAACCTATAAAATGATGGCGCCGGACTTGCAAACAGCTTGTCAGATGTGGCCAATAACTTGTACTTATTAACTCAGGTTAATTTCTTGCTTTTTTACAACAACAACCTATCAGTTTTGCAGCACTTTTTGGAAGATACACTTCCAACGTTATAGTGAACTATAATTAGTTAAGAGGCATTCAAAACATATTAATTTATTGACTTCCTGTGTTTACCAATATCACTCACCAAAACTGTTTTGTGTACTGTTCATGTTATACCTGCCTGAAAAGTCGACGGTTTTTAAACCTGATATACTGGTACGCCCTCTATTCAAGGCTACCTTATCGGACTCTTGAACTAGTTGTTTGAAGCCGGAATAATATTACAATCACATGTTGGTCACATGCCCGATTCACACCAGTGCCTGAAAACAATAAATTTCACAGATAAAGCTTAATTCTGCAAACAGTCAGTTGACATTCCTAGAATAATGGTTTTGGCGAAAACAATACGGATTTTCTAGAAAAAGAAGAAATGCTGATGTAACAGTTTTTGTTTAAACATGTTATCTTCTATATGATTAATTTATAGGTTTTTGTTCTTTGAAAAAATAGTTAAATTGATAAAATATCATATGGTAGAAATGACATAGTTACTTTTAAAATAGTAACGTAACAAATAAACAATTTTAAAGAAAGTAGGGTAATGACAGTATTGTTATATAAAGATATAACCTCACATATGCTTGTACATTTTAATTGTTATTAACGACATATCAAGATTAGTAATACCTAAACTAGAGCTGGTAGAAAATTAAGATATTATGCGATTTGAACTACCCTCAGACGCAATATTCACAGAATGAACATATTTATTAACAGTAAACACAAAGCATTCAAATTATAATGGATATAAACAGTGTTATATCAGTTTCCTTCCAAAACCCATATGTAACATTGAAATCCTTCTATCTTTTAAAAGTCTGAGCGCGACCCAGGAGTTAAACTGCCGGTTTGTGGACCCGCAAAAAAAATCCTGCCCCACATTATTGGGACGTGGGTGTGATATAAGAGTAAGGATCAAATCCCACTATTCGGTTTGACAATAGTAGCCCAAGAGTTGGCGGAAGCTAGTGTTGACTAATTGCCTTTCATCTAGTCTATCACTTTAAAATTATGCTGGCTAGCGCTGATAGCCCTCAGGTTGCTTTGCGCGAAATTCAACAAACAAACTCTGCTGGCAATTTTCACAAAACATTATCATATTTTCAGATCATTATCACGTTTATCTCCTTTCCATACATTCATGCTGTTCCAGTCGGTATATTAAAGCAGAAATATGTTTGAGAGACATATGCATAACGAAAGAACTATGTGTTTTATTTTGAATAAACAAAAAGTAATTGTCATGATATTACACAGGTTATTTTACTATATTGTTACGTAAGATTTTAGGAAAAAGAAGAAGAATGAAAGAACTGTTGGTTTGAAATGATTATCGCTCCAGGCCATCACTTATATATATTTCGAAAATATGAATTTAGATATATTCCTACGGAGTTGCAAATGTTGCAAACATTTCTGCTAATAAAGCTTACAATGGATAAAACTCTGTGTAACGAATTTGTTATTATATATATTTATTTTTAATATCAACGTTGTTTAGATTAAGTTTATATTTTAAGACATGCGTAGCTTATAATGTTAAATATGTATTGCGAAATTCCCGCCTATTCTCCAAAGTTGTAGACGAT